GAGTTCCTGAAGTTCGACCCCCGACGGTGGCATATTTTTGATAATTTGTACTACCAAGGTCGCATTCAACCGCTGTCTGGAGGAATATTCTAGCGGCGACCTGCTCTGGTCGATACGTTTTCTGTTTCTTCTGTGCAAGTCAAACGCCGGAGGAAGACCCTAAAAAACGGCCCACAAACCACACTTGAATTTTCCTTCCTCATTGTTATGGGCAAAGGATAGGCGGGATTTCAACAATAGAAACAACTTAGTCTCAAGCTTAGACCTTGTCCCAGATGGAGCGGCACTCCGTTGGAGAGAGATCTACGGGCAGGTTGGCATGGTCTCTAGCTGGGGAGAAACTCCACCAGCTTCCGGCTTTAACGTGTGATACGTACACGCACGGAACTCCACGGGAAGAAAGTCCATGACGGCGCACTCACTCTCTCTAAAGAGGGATGTAAAGAGGTAACGATACAGACGATGTGAAACGAGATACCGATAAATCAAAAGTTTCATAAAAGAGTTCGCGAAGTTGTTCTTGACAAGAAACGTCACAAAGAACATTAGTACTTTTTGTTTCTTTGGTGAACCCCACGTTTGTGTCCATCTGTTTTCAGCGTCTCGCCCACAGGGGCTGCTTCGCCCGTTCGCCTTCACTTGTTGCGCCGCCGCCGCCGCCGCCGCCGCGGAGGAGCACGTGCCCGCTGGCGCGCGAGAGCGGTCGGGGGTTGGGGGAGGGGAGGACGGGTGGAAGCGAGGACGGCTCCGGCCCATTGTGCGCTGCGCCGCCCCCGCCGCCCGCTTTGTGCGCCGCGGACGACGCGACGTCGACGAAACAGCAACGGCGCGCGGCGTTTGGGACGGGGGTGGCTGCGAATGAACATAAGGGTGGAGAACATCGGCGCAGCGCGCTTCGTACGGATAACTGGATATGCCAGTGCTTTTATGGTGAAGTGTTATACTGCTTCAATTCTTAAAGCATTTATGCTGAGTTGCAGGTGGCGGAGTGATGTACGCCTCTGCTTATTAACTGATCTTTTATATTGGGTAAGCCGGGAGAGGTGGCTCAGGGCATCAACTGATGTCACTGCAGGGCCTAGTTTCGAGGCCCCGTCGGTGGCAGGATTATCGATACCCGCATCTCAGCTTGGAATTCTGTCTGAAGGAGAATTCTAGCGAACGGCTGCTGCGTTTTCCGTGGTTTCTCCGAGCAAAACCAGGTGAATGCCGGAGTAGTACCTAACAAACGGGTCACGGGCAGCGAACGGTCTTTCCTTGCCCTTTCTGGTCCTATCCTTACCCCTTATACCTTACCGCACATGTCAGGAGGCCAGTTGTGGGCTTTGAGTTTGTCCCGGCTGAGTGGTGGCCTGCTGGTGGTAGATACGTGGTTGACGAAACCCCTTAGCCCATGGTAGGTCCGTGCCGCATCTCTCCATTCAGCATGGGAAGACCACCATCACCTTAGTAAAAACATGTACTACGCTTACGAGACTAATTATTATAATCGTTGATGCACCAAAAATCACTAACAATCAATCCTTCAAACTATATTTACAAAAAAAAAAAAGAAAAAAAGTTGGATCCATGATACTGTAACAAGTTTCCTTGTTACAGTGTCATGGATCTGCTATTCTATAACGGTTCTTTTGTTTTCGGTGATACAATCTACACTTAATTCTAGTCTTATATCTACTACATCATACTACATGTATACATAGTTGCATTGGTCAATGGTGGCGAAACGTTTAAAAATATTAATAAAATTTTACAAAAATACTAACTCACATAACATAAATACTAAGTTTAAATTTACTTTTTCTTTTGAGCTACGTATCTGGTACTTTCTATGTATCTGGTATTAGCTTGTTTTCACAAAAACGCTCTGATATTAATATTTGTTATTCACTAGCACCAATGTTCGTTATTCAGCAGCATGGTATGTGTTTATCTCATTCTTTATTACTAATTTCCAATGAGCGCAGAAATTCAAAGAAAACTTTGATGTCTCCATCGATGTGAGATACCCGTGAGGCGTCGGATGTGAGAACTTCGAAAAATCCATATTATGAAACAATTTCGATTTTGCCTGAAAATGCAAATATTCGATTACGAAAGTTACGTTTAACCATGTTTTATTCTTGGCAGCAGCTACGCGTGCAGCTTCTCGGTTTGTGCGCCGCACTATTTCCTCTTTCATTTCTTAGAAATCAGCAAATTTAAAGATTATTGTGCTGTGTTTATCGAAATGTTTTTTACGGGACCAGGAGGAACCCGGAGGATATTTTGTAAACAACACCTACTAGTTGATGGCGCACTTTTGTGCCATTGAAATCCATTTCTCGATATCATGAACTCCAAACTTGTATTAATTGGATTGTTGGTGAAGTAGATACCTTTTTTATTTTGATAAATAAATAGAGATATTGTCAGGTATCAATATTTTAATTCCACTAATGATCATTTCGATCGCGTTGCGATCATCCTCAGAGCTTGCAGCTTCTGGGCCGAAAACAAAGTTCTGCCTTGGCAGATGAATGATTTTGTACAAACATAATTGACCACGACTCATTATGTATGTTCAGGTAGATGACACGACAGATACATAAGATACACAGGTGTCTGGGTGTTCCTTTACTGAATATTGTGATTCAGAATAACGTCTACTGCAGTTAATAAGGAAATATAAACAAATACATTCTTGGCAAGTCCGTAGCCTTGAAGGGCTGAAGGATCTCTTTAGTACACACGAAATAAGCGATTTCAATTCACGTTTCCTGCAAACGCATTCTCGCTATTCTACACTTCGGTACCGTATAGGTTTTTCCTGTACTACGTCTCCATGTAAACGGTAATTGACGTACTTCTATACATGATAGGACTTTAAAACTTGTACCAATATTTATATAATACCTAGAAATTAAATTATTTACATAAATGTATAATTCTGTATATATTCACGAGAACATTTGGCAACTGTTAACGCTATATAGAATCCTGGGGCTATAAAGAGACAAGCCGAAGCTTGCATGAGACCGCGTGGTTTGCATGAGACCAAATGGTCTGTGCAAACCTGGTGGTATGCATTTGCATGAGACCGTATGGTCTCGTGCAAAAAGTCACTCTACGAAACCATATGATCTCGGGCTAAAAAATGAATGTCCCTACGAGACCATATGGTCTTGCATGGCAGCCAATGTGTTTAACATAAGCGTGTATAAATGTTCATTTCCCTCCTTTTTTATTTTATTTTATTTACTTTTTTTTTGCTCGTTTGGCCCTTCGGCTTTTCGGGAGTTATTATTTACGATACATACATTACATGAGGACTAATAGTCTCTTCCATTTACATCAGGGCACAAGTATACGTATTTGAGCTTTTTTTCAATCTATATACAGTTTCTGTTTACCTTAATACAAAAATATGCAATATACAAAGGTACAGAAAAATATACCAAAATATGCATTGAGTAAAAATACCCCACTTTTGAATAACATATATGTACAGTTATTACAATTCCATATATTGTTTATAACATTAGTACCAGCAATTTATGGCTTTAAGCGATCTTTTGGAAAGCGTGACACTATCCGGCATAGTGCATAAGCTGTACGGCCAAAGTTGAAAGTTCTTTTGCTAGGACACGTTTCAAGCCTTAAACAAAAATGTTTTGATAGTTTATTTATGTACTTTTTAATGCAGCTAATGTTCAATTATTTTTGGATTTGTGCATTAGGAATAAACCAGGGAGCTTTGGTGACCAGTCTTAGAAGTTAGTTTTGAATTATTTAAAATTTATTAATACGCGTGTGTGCGGCGCCTGCCCACACTAAGCACGCATAGGTGAGCGAAGGGCGAAATATAGATTTAAAGATTGTTTCTCCGTATTCTATTCTTAATGTATAGTTTTTTATTCATTAGTGGGTAAAGTGTGACCATTATTTCCCTCCTATCAGCCACGAGCCACCTCTGCCATCGTCTTCCGTGCTTGCGACTGAGCGCCGCGTGTGTGTGTGTGTTGCAGGCGGGGACCGCGTGGACTGCCTGTCGCGCAGCTTCCGCGTGACGGACGCCAGGGGCGCCACGCTCTTCTCGGCCGACAGCCGCGAGGTGGTGGTGGGGGCGGAGGCCCTGCGCGTCACCGGTGAGTGCTCTTCATCCCTCCGCACTGACGGGTCCAGAGGGGACACGCCCACCGCCATAAAAGGACTAGAGCTTTCGATTACTTTCTCTTATTTGGCAAAAATCATTTAAATATAAATTTACTTTTTTAATTAAGTAATTGTTTACACAATAATATTGTAAAGTATAACATCTATATCTATATAGATAGATAGATACTTAGTATTCACATTTACATAGTATATCAATACTATGTGCATAAATACTATACAATATAATAACAAATATGTTTATTACTTAACAAAAATTTCGATGCCCCCCCCCCCAAATGATCGGCTGGATACGCCGCTGTCCCTTCCCATGATGTCCCCCCCTCCTTGATGCTTGAGGGGAGTTATTTAACAAAATAAATGTTTTAACCTTTATAGTCTGTTTGGTAGCATTTGTGACTCCAGGCGCAAATAATGATTATAATGATTTGCAGCACTCTAAAAATTATTCACATGAACTTGTCATTTTAGATATGCTATTTATGACAAATTTTACAGTTATTGACAAATTTTAAGTATTTTAAGTTTTCTTGATTTTAGGTAATTTAATTTTTATACAGCTGGGGCCAGAAGTGTTCCAAAACAGATTCCATGTTACACATTCAAATTCTACTTGAAAGTTAATGGCAAGAATATTTCCGTGATATAAGTAACTAATATTGAACCAGGATGTTGACTTTTTATTTTTTTCGAATTTACCACTTTATCCCTCACTATACTGGCTCACTATAAAGGTGTCTCAGGGCAACAATTGATGTGAATGTCTCTTCACCCGGAGATTGTAGGGATTGAGTCACGACGATGGCAGAATTTTCGAACCAAGCTATGTAATTAGATCAAATTCATCCGCTGTCTGGAGTGAATTGTTGAGGGCGGCTTCTCTGATTAGTAGTTTTCCGTGATTCTCCGATCAACACTAGGCAAATGCCGGAGCAGTACCCACCAAACGGACCACGGAGCCCGCGCGATCCATCCTTCCTCTTCTTTGCCCTTTCCTTACCTCTTACAAACACACACACACATGCACTACATTACCACACTTATCGGGATGTCGATTGGGAGCTTGTCCTGACTGGGGCAGTGCCACGCTGGTGGGAGGTACCTGGTCGAGAAAAAAATCCCTGCAATAGGTCGGTACCCGATCTCCCCAGCCTGCGGGAGTAGATCAACGCCTCATCCTTCTATAAACAAACACACACTATACTTATGGGACTAATGACCTTATTAGTTCACGCATCCATAATAATCAATCATTTCTCGCTGCACTGAGAGAGGTAAAAATGCTGACCAACCTTCTTCCCTTCACTGCTCGCATCATCGTTTGCGGTTTCCCGGCGAGAGAAATCAGGCTCTCTTCCTTCGGGGATTCCCCTCCGGATTCCACGGGCGATTGCGCCGCCCGCCTCGTTTGTGTCCCGTTTCGACACCTTCGCGGGCGGGCGCGGGGGCGCAGCATTAACCCAATTAGAAGCTCCTCGGGAAGTAATGAAACCGCGCGCGCCCATTTGCGTGATTTGCCCCGCGCCCGCTCATTGGGCGGCGTCTCATCAATTATTCTCAGCGTCCGGCCGTCCACGGTCTTTCAGCCCGCGCCGCCCCGCGCTACCTGCTCACGCCGTACCCCTTCGTACCGTACCACCTCGGCACTTACCACCTCAATCCGTACCACCTCGTACCGTATCACCTCGTCCCGTAGCACCTCGTCCCGTAGCACCTTGTCCCGTAGCACCTCGTCCCGTGCCCACCTCGTCCTGTACACACCTCGTCCCGTACCCACCTCGTTCCGTACCAGCTCTCCCTGTACTTCGACCCGGACCACCTCGACACGTGCTATCTCGCCCCCATGCCACCTCGACCCGTACCACCTTGACTCCTACCACCTCGATCCGTACCACCTCGCCCCCTACCACCTCGACCCGTGCCACCTCAACCCGTGCCACCTCAACCCGGGCCACCTCGTTCCGTATCACCTTGTCCCGTATCACCTCGACCCTTATCACCTCGACCCTTATCACCTCCACCCGTATCACCTCGACCCGTATCACCTCGACCCGTGCCCACCTCCTCCTGTACCCACCTCGTTCCGTACCCACCTCGTTCCGTACCAGCTCTCCCTGTACTTCGACCCGGACCACCTCGACACGTGCTATCTCGCCCCCATGTCACCTCGACCCGTGCCACCTCGTCCCGTATCACCTCGACCCGTATCACCTCGACCCGTATCACCTCGACCCGTATCACCTCGACCCATATCACCTCCGCCCCTTTCCAACTCAACACGTACTACCTCAACCCTTACCACTTTGACCCGGACTTTCTCCATCCGGACTTTCTCGACCCGGACCACCTCGACCCGGACCATCTCGACTCGGACCACCTCGACTGAGCCCATACCGACCTGTGCCACTTCACCCTGAAACGGAAATTTGCTTGGCCAGACGGAAGAGCGAGCCTGATGCCCCGAGTATCATTACGTAAAATAAGGCGTTAACTAACTAAACAGTATGTGTTTACGGTTTTTGAAAAGAAATAACGACCTCTCAGGTTATGAATCTGTAGTTGAAAATAACTTCTACCTTCCTAGTAAACTGACGCTACAAAGCTTCAAGAAGGCCTCGATGTTTTACCAAAGACCAAACTCATCTCATCCTTCGGTAAACTAAGAACCAGCCAATAGCTTCATCAACATTGCGGCGGAGCAGTGCTGCTCGTTATTCGAGTCATTAACCGATATGGAGAGTTGTTGGACTCAGTTTTATATCGATGTGGCCATAAATGTCGTTGTGCAGCTATTGACAGTGTCAAGTAGTAAAACGAGTCATAATTTTTTTTTTCGGAAACAAAATGAAAAAAAGGAAATGAACATCTGCTCAACAAATTTACGCGTCAAGATTCACTGGCAGATTAAGTATAAATTGAGTTTCTCTTTTAAATTGTTTACTTTCAGAACTTACACATTTAGAAATGAACTCATTTTTGTGGTAAAGAGAACTTTAGTCTCTCTATACAAAATGTTCAGCACGTGTTGTAATTACATTTACTCTTAGTGAAACAGTATCTTAAGTGGCCCTAGCTATGGCCAATTTCATGCCGTATGATGTAGGTCGCATGGAGACCAGATGAGACAATGATAATCAATAAGTCACCGTATGAATAAGAATAATAGACATTAAGCATTGAAATTTGCGTTCCGATATTACAAGATTTTTCTGCTCATTTCTCAAGTCTTACAGTCTCCACTTCATTTCATCACGTAAAAGATACAATCATTTCTTCATTGGATGGCAGACTCCAATGCACGACCAATTATTTTCTTCCTATTGTAATGTACATCTTTTTTTCTTTTTTAGGTGAAGGAGGCGCGATATTTGATGGAACTGTACAGACACCGCTTGTCAAAGCTGATTCAGGAAATGAGCTCAGGTGAGTACAGTGTTGGAATGTTAAAAACGAATCACGTGTATTATTTCTATAACGTGTTATGTAACACGTCGTTACCAGGTAAATTACTCAGGCAATCGCATCAATAAAGGTGACGTTTGAAAGCTGCAAGTTACCTATGTCAGCAGGTGAACAATTTTGTGCACATGCAGTAAACATTAAAGATATGAAAAAAAAATATTTTTCTGAAATATCGACATCACGCACAACCTAGCGAAAAAGCCAGGTAAAAGAGTACTAGGTGATGACGGTGGCAATGAGGAGGGTGGATTTGAGTTGGCAGAGCAGACAGATTAAGGAAAGGATACACTATAAGCCGAATACATTCATTTCCCTGACTGAATAGATGAATATATATATATATATATATATATATATATATATATAATGATATCAGAGAACACACTTTACATAGTATTTACAAATCGCAATGCGCAGGCCTTGGAAACAGCGCACAGTTCAACGCTAACCTCGATGTTTAAAAACCATTCTGCTTCCTCTGAGGCGACGGGGGCCGTCGTGCAACGGCGGGCGGGCTTCGGTAGCTTCGGTTTGCCCCGAAAGTCCGCCGGGAATTCCGCCCTCCCTCGCGATCCAACTCCTCTGGCCCACACGTAACGTTCGATGATTCGCCGGGTCACCCCAGCGGTGTATTGAAACAATGTCTCCACTGTGTACTGGAACGCACGCACCGTCGTGATTGATGTTCGTCGTTTGTTCCAGTCTTTTCAGCAATCCTTCTCACTTACGGCGGGATTATCAACACCAAGCCCACCCGGCCACACGAATTTCATGTCTTATTAGGTTTTTTATTCAGTTCTGGTACGCGAGCAATTCTACTTCTCAAGATCTGACTGTTAATCCTTATCAACATCTGGTTCCACATTCAGCGGCCACACTCAGTCCAGAACTGCTACTTAATAACGACAATAAAATCTCTGGATGCAACACACTGCCCGCGCCCGTGCTTCACTCGAGGCCTCTCCGCCGCACCCACTAACAGCGTCGCTCGCCATCGCCGTTTCCCCCCCCCCCGATTTACCGTAGTGGCGGCGGCGGCCGGCGGCGTTCTACTGCGCTTGATCACTCCCAGTACTTTAATTTAATTTATATTTGGTGATCATTTTAATTGTTTCTAATTCCCAGAAACGTTTCTTCGTTTCCAATTATATATATATATATATATTTGAAACGAAGAACGTTTCATAGATTATAACAATTAAAATTGATCATAATTATAATTAAAATAAAGTACTTGAATTGATCAGAGCAGTAACGCCGCCGCCGCCGCTGCCACCACGGTCAAATCGGGGGGTAAGATCGGCGAGCGAGCGACGGTTGGGACAGTGTGCGCAAGAGAGGCGTGAGCGGAACACGACGGGGCAGTGCTGCATCAACAATTTATGTGGGGAGTTAAGAAAGTTTGGATTGAATGTGGATGTTAAGTGGAAAGCATTATATTTGATGAAAGTTAATAGTCAGATGATTAGTGAGAAGTGAAGGCGCATTAGGACCGAAATCCAAGAACATTAATACACGGAATTCGTGTGGGCCGACGGACAGGTGTTACTTCTGTCATTGCCGGATGTAATGCAGCAGCGGGCCGGTACTGTGCAGACTTCGCGCGAGATTGGAGAGGGATTGCTTGAGACTGGAACTGCCGACGGGCGTCAATACGCGCGTCGGGCGTGTCGGTGCTGTGAGACATTGTTGTATCCGGCTGGGGGGGTGGACTCCGGCGAATCCATCGGCCAGCGGAGTTTGATCGCCGAGGGAGAGCGATTTCCCGACGAGACTTCGGGTCGGCAACGAAGGTTGCCCGAAAGCCACCGCGCCTTGCCACGGCGGCCCCGCTCGTCGTCCAAACCAGCAGTGGTTCTTAAAGAGCATCAAGGTAGCGTTGATTGTGGCACCTTATTACCAACAAGGCTTGCGCATTGCGGTTTTGTAATAATCTTTGGTAAAGAGTGTTTCCTATTATTAAAATATTTAAATGCACAAAAGAATTTCTTATGATCATCTTCCAATGCAGCGCCAAAACCCTGGAAGGCCATTCACGAAAATGTACCTTCATTTGTATAATTTATTTGTCGTGAGAGTACCTGCTTCCCAGGTACGTCACAATATATATATGTATATATAATAATATATATATATAATATATAATATAGAGAGGCGAGAGAGAGAGAGGAGAGAGAGAGAGAGAGAGTAAAACGGATTCGACTTTAAATTTTCGCGGGCAATCAATTCTCACGGTTTCCACGTGTTCATATTTATTATTGTCCTATTTTCCATTATCGGTACATTCATCAATGTTCTAAAAGAAATCCAATTAATGGTACTTACGGAACGAACCTACCAAATCCAATTAATTTTTGCAACTAATTACAATGTTGTCTAATTACAATGTGTCTAATTAAAGGGAACACTACCTGAACCCGTGCGAAACATTCTTCACTTCGTAAGACATGCGTTGAAACTGAAGCTTAATGCGGTATACGAAATTCAAGCTCAGAACAATAGCTTACAACAGTAAACGACCAAATCCTACGCGTGTTAAAGTTCTGATATTTTCTTACGTTCCACAAATGTGTCTATATTTACAGCGAATAATTTTAAAATACAAGTCAGAGTCCTGACATCCTATCAGTCATTGTACAATTATTTGTTTCCAAGATAGTCTGCGTGATACCGAATGCATCTTTGTATTGTAACTACCTGGAAAATGAATGGTAATGAATAGAAGTTGACGATGACAGAGAAAAATACATTGATGAAAAAAACACCAGGGGAGGCCATAAATTGTAAACATGGTAATACCCACGGGAAAATGTAATAGGAATGATGATATGTGACACCAATGAAGCGTGGCAAGATTCATAAACAAATTAGTGATTAAAAGTAGTAATGTGATCAATATTGATGGAGAATTAACGATCATCAAATGGCCATCCAAGTGTTTGAAGTGCTGCTGGGAGAGACCATCGTACTTAATGAGTCTGACGTTGAATGAAAATGTGACGGCCGACGTTGGCTGGTTGTGTAGCAGACTGGACTCGCTGACGCGGTCGCTATGCCCCCGATGGACGTAAACATCATATTTAACGAATGTGATGTTCAATGGCAATGTGAAGGCTGATGTTGAGTGGTTGTGTGGCAGGTTCGAATCGCTGACGCGGTCGTTGGATGTGCGGGTGCCACTGAGCATAGCCATCGTATTAAACAAACATGATGTTGGATGGTAATGTGAAGGCTGATTTTGGTGGTTTTGGGTGTGGCTGGGGTCGCCGACGCGGCCGCTGGAGGTGCGGGCGCCGCTGGCCTTGGCCATCATATTTACGAATGTGATGTTCAATGGCGATGTGAAGGCTGATGTTGGATGGTTGTGTGGCAGGTTGGAGTCGCCGACGCGGTCGCTGGAGGTGCGGGCGCCGCTGGGCGTGGCCATCGAGTCGCGGGCGGGCTCTATCAGCGCGTCCTGTCTCGCCGACCTCAAGCTGCAGTCACTTGCCGGCGCGGTGAGCAAACCCCTTTTTGTTACATTCTGTCCAATGAAGTTTTGCAATGGAATACTTCACATTTTAGGGAATATGAAGTCAGCACTCATAGCCAGTGTGAAAAATCGCTATATTTAATAATCTTATATTGAAAGTTCAAACATTAAAACGAATTGAACTAATTTAATTTATGGATTTAAAAAAAAATAAAGTGTGCCAATAATTCTGTTTTTGTGATTTTTTTGTATTTTTAATATTGATAGTGGCACTTTCCCAATATTCACAGTACATGCATAGTAAGCCCTAGTGAGAAGAAAATTGGTAAATGTATTTTCTAATGTATTACTTAACAGTTTTTAAAAAATAATATTTCAAACGCTGCCATCATATTTAAATTTAAACTATTTGCAGTGAAGATGTACTGGTAGAGGGATTAATAAAAATTTTGGAGGGAAGATTTATTTTCAAATGTTTCATACATTAAAATTCAACGTGGAAATATTTTTTTAAATTGAATAGTTGCAACAGTTATTTCTTTATTAAAGACTGCGTTAGAATTAGGAATAAGAAGTTAATTTCAATTAAAAAGCTATAAACGGCGAAATTTGAAACTGAAACTGAACATTGACCTTGACAATGAACATTGACATTGAACGTTGGCATTGAACATTTACATTGAACGTTGACATTATATTTTGAAATTGATCATTGAAATTGAACATTGAAATTGAACACTGAAATTGAACACTGAAATTGAACACTGAAATTGAACACTGAAATTGAACACTGAAATTGAACAATGAAATTGAACCCTGGAATTGAACACTGAAATTGAACACTGAAATTGAACACTGAAATTGAACATTGATATAGAACACTGAAATTGAACACTGAAATTGAACACTGAAATTGAACACTGACATTGAACACTGACATTGAATACTGACATTGAACACTGACATTGAATACTGACATTGAACACTGACATTGAACACTGGCATTGAACGCTGACATTGAACGCTGGCATTGAACGCTGGCATTGAACACTGACATTGAACACTGACATTGAACACTGACATTGAACATTGACATTGAACACTGAAATTGGACAGCGTTTAAAAAATTGAGCTGTGTCGCCAATGGCCGCGTGTGCGTGCGCAGGTGTGGCTGGACGCGCCCAACGTGTTTCGTGCCGGGGCTGAAGAAGGCGCTGCGGTGCGGCCGGGGCTGGCGGCGCGGGGCGGCGGGCGCGGCGGCGGCGGGTCGCGCGGGGCGGGCGGCGGCGGCGCGGCAGCGCTTCGCAGCACCTGCCCCCGCAGCCACGCCACGCCGCCCCGGGCCAATCCTCCCAGCTGTTGCGTCTGCTCCAACGGGAAGCTGTTCCTGGCGCCGCCGGAGGGCCTGTGCGCCGCCGACGAGGACTCGACTGTGTCGTGAAGGCTCTCCGCCCCGGCCCGCCCCCCGCTGCCCCGCCCCGCCCCCGCTTCGCCGCCGCCGCCGCCGCCGCCCACCTGTTGCGCGCGCTGCCGGACCCTCTCCGGGGCTCTCTCCTCGAGTGGGCGTCGTCGCGCGGAGAGGACGTGTGGACGCGCCCGCCGCCGCCGCCGACGGGACGACGCTGTTGGGGGAAGGGACACCCCCGGACGGGGTGTCCCCCTCCACGTCCCACCACTCCACTCCCACGCTGTCGTTACGGCGCTGGATGCCGGCGAGGACGGATGCAAGTGAAACGCGCAGGACTGTGACTCTTGAGGGTGTGGTTGTTTAGTGAGTACGAGTCTTTCCCCGCCCCTCGTGTCGCTTCTACTCTCCTTGGTACAGGTGGCTCGAAAGTCCCTTTCCGGGGCGAACGCAGGAGACGGGACTGGCTCACTGATTCGTCACGATCAGGAACCCGGAGTTCATTTTGGGGGCGATACGATCAGGAGACATGAGGGTTTTGACGCCTGAAGAGGCAACTATTGGGGCGTTCGGGTGTTTTGTATTGCCCGGCTTCAGGCGCTCTTCTCGTCTTTCTTAGGTTAATTTGTATTGTTGGAGCTGATTAGATGATATTCCTAATACTGCGACGCTTGTACATACTATTGGAAACTTACTTGACGTGTGTGATAGACTAGCCTTCAGGTCACCTCAAAATTGTTCTGATCGTATCTCCGCTGTATGACTTCGACAATCCCACACATTGTTAAACAAGAATGATATGTGGGATGTCCTCTGCCTGCTGCATTCCGGTAAGGTACTTCTGAGACATCCTGTGTTGCCCATCCTGCTACTTGTGGTGTACCGTCGTTTCCGAGAACAAGACTTGTTCGCGCGTTGCCTCAGAGATTGAAAATGTTCGCTTAGAAGTCAGCAGGTGCTGCGTCCTCCATTGTTGCAATCCCTCATTGACCTCGCTGGCCTGTTGAAGAAAGTCAATACTTCGTCTTTATATTAGACAATAGCAGTTGTTTGGAAGTATTTTATTCCTCGAAGTTAACAAGTCACAGTTTCTCCCACGGTGACATTTTGTTCTAGTTTACTGACCTCCTACATAAAGGTCTTAAAGAATAAAAATACGCGGGTTGCACAATTGTGAAAACCCAAAGTAGAACATAAGACACCCAAAATAACGCTCGACTGATGTAACAAGTGCAAAATTATCTGTATTATAAACTTGTGTAATGAATAGGGGCTTATATCTTCATTACAACAGAAACAACATTTTAATTCTCTTCATATGTTAACAAATGTGGCGATTGGGAATAATCAGATGGAAACTATGAATGCCTTTAAGTTTCTAGTAGAACTGGTATGAAGGAAAAATATTTATTCCTGACTACAGAAAAAAATCTCTTGATTGGATTATATTGTTTGTAGTAATTTAAATAATGCATTAATTTACCTTTTACTTTTTGCAAAACTTTTGTATACGTTTCTTCTTACGTGAATTGAGTTTGCATTTCTAATCTAGAAATATTTTACATAAAATAATAAAGGAAATGTTATAAAAGTCACTATATATCAAAGTTTCATTTCATTTCCCATCAATAAGGTATTTTTTCTGTTATACCATGGGCTGCGAAGTGTATGAGACACATGATAAGATAAGGAAATATGATCGTGTTCTTCTACAGTTGTATTTTATATTGATTCCAAAAAGGAAACAAATAGAATGTTTGTGTATTTATCCTAAGAATCATTTATAACGTATATTTTGAATGAATGTTGCAATGATCATAATGTTGTGAAAATATGTTAAATCCCTGGAATACAAAATGGGACATACAATAAACAAATACATAAACATACTTGGGAAAACTAAAAAAGTTGCTCATGAATATCGTTATTCTTGAGTCTGTTTTAATATGCAATGTTTCTCGATTTCAATAATTGTTTTTAATCATCAGTGATAATTTTCGACTCTAGAAACAAAAAATATAATCTCTAAAGGGAATAAGTTATGTTTAACAGGAAAATTGGAAACGATTGAAATTGATTAGTGGGAAACGCACGGTAAAGTGCAAGAAATATGATTGTCATACTTTTAATTAAACGTTTCCATATCATGATGATAATACAGTACAAAGAAAAGAAAGAGCTAAGATGTCACAATTCGTTCAAATAATCTCCAACAGAATGTGCTTGATATATTCCCACAAATCATTCCATGGGAAACGATGCAAGTACCTACAGTGAATAGCAATTGATATCTATTTCCAGTGCTTTTGGACACATTATACGATTTTTTACGTTGTTTTCGTGATTGTAATTATTAAACGTAAATATCAATTGCTAAATAAATGTGTATTATCTACTTCTCTTAGGAAGAATACAGCCGTTAATAAGGATCTGAGGGATCACGGAATGGCTTATGTGTCACACGAAAGAGTATATAAACCATATAGAATTACTATTTACGTTCACTTGAGTTATGTTGAGATATGAATGATTTCCTTATCTCATACTCTTATCTACATTTTGTATGATCCATAACGTTTGATTTTAGAAGAATGTAAACATACGAACGACACACTCTTTTTGTTATAGATGGGCTGAAAATGCAAATACGTGGTGAGCCGTGTCGGATGAAAAACAAACACATTAGCGTGTTTCTCATAGTATTTGTAATAAATAATTAATTTACCGTTTTGCCTCAGAATCATAAATTTCAGTGGAAAGGTTTGGTTGTTTTCATTTATTTTTTTTGCATTGAATTTTTTCGATTTCATAGCAGCCTGTATGCACATTTCCAAGATTCAAATCGCTATTTGTCGAGAGAAGTTAAATTCGGGGAAGCTTCATTTGTGATCCGCGAGGGCATTGCAATTCTCACGGCTGACCAGCGGACTGTGTTTATGATGGCCTAAAATCGGGCGTGGTCGCAGAGTGGTGCGCGATACAAATTGTCATAATTGGCAACCCAATTGGTTTTATTTTCATTGTAAATTTTGGAAAATTTCAAACATTTGAAAGAGTGGGTGCAAGTATGTACTGTTGTAACACCCCAAATTGAAATTAATATTCCTTCTGTAAATTTAATTCTATTCATGCAGGACCGTTCAATTAGTACACGATATTCTTAAGCATTGTTTGGATTGAACTCCTCAAAACCCTTTTATAAATGCAAAAATTACTTCGCAACCAAATATTGAAATCTTCTCAGTTATTACAATAAATATATTAATAACCGCTCTTAATGAAAATACAAAAATTGTGGAATTTAATCCTCGGCCTTTCGAAAAGCTGTGGTACAACCCATTTTGTACCACTCCGAAGTGGACAATGTAAGGAAAATCGCTGGTTTTCAAGCAATATTTTATTCACAATAAAGTTGCTCCTGATTGATTCGATTGATCTGCAGAAAGAGAATTCATGAGTTTTTTTTTAAAAACGCCCTTAAAGAAACTTAGATTCATCTAATGCCCAGAGGAATGGTTGGGAAAACATTTGACTGAATTCCTCTTCTTTCAGTTAAACGTTAACCATTTTCTCAAAGAGTTTCCTATACAAGTTACACTAAATGAGAAATTGTGAATTAAGAAGTGTGATCGTTACCAAACGACCAGAGTGTGTCCATGTGGTCATTCTGTCGAAACTAGTGTGGCATCGTATAATAATTATATCCAAGACATTGTTTTACGCAGGAACTGGGGTGTGGTTAGAAAAGTTAGTGATATGGTAATTTTTAGGTCTTAATATACTTCAACAATAACATAAAATAGGTACAATGGGTTGGGACAGTCCTTTGACTATACCTTTAAGCAGACGGCCAGTGAGAGACGATTTTTCTAACATTATTCAACACAAAGTTTAATTAATCGCTGACCTGCTAGTTATCAACATCACTTGAAACAAATATTTTCACGTATCAACCCTCGGCAGAGTTGCAATGCGCCAGTAATATACTGTGTAACTCAATACTGTGTAACAAGTAAAGTAGTTCACATTATTTTAAGATTTTGACACCCCGAACCTGTACCTCCTCGTGGGTTCAAAGGATTGGTGGCAGACAAAATCGCATATAATGGGAATTCATGAATAAGACATTTAGAATGTGTATAAATGGTGGATTTAAAAGAGATAGTAGCAGACGTTTGCGTTTAATTTAGGACCCGGATACTAGAGTTCGACTCTCAGTCAAAGGGCTAATTCTTTGAACGCTTCAAAACACAATTTGCCATTCATATTATGCCATAGACGTCTGAAACTGTTTAACGTCTGTATTCGATACACTACGTTGAGAATAATTTATTTTAATTTCTATTTTGAAGCTCGGTGTCTGTAGGTGCCGCGAGCCTACTAACAGTTTGTCTTTTAGTCCCTCTCGATCCCATACAAACTGTAACCCTAATGCGTTAATGGAATGTGTAGGATTTGATACAGAGAGAATAAGTGGTCAGGTTCAGAGTAAGTGTAGGGGAATCGTCGTGATCCCTTCCTGCCAATGACAAAGTGGTGAGAAAGCTCTTGTTGCAGGGATTCCGTACAAATGACCTATTTTTCACATACCACTCCTCATTGATGAGGCAAATTATTTTGCACTGTTTTTTGGAAGATGTACTCACACTCTCAGGAGACCACTGGCTACTAGCAGAGTTCGTGTACCTGCCAATATCGGTCTCATTTTACAGCCTCCGACGTCCCATTTTGATATTTTTTTGAGAAATAGCCTTGATGTAATTACACTAAAACTAGTTTCAAACTTTCATAATTCTTGTTTAGATAGTCTTTTTACATTTTGCCCTCAAATTATCTTTTACGTATGTTCTTACAAATTTATTATTACTGTTATTATTATAATAATTATTATTACAGTGCATCCTACGTATTTCTCTTAAAACTTCCATCGAGTCGGGTGACATAGTTTACTTTACTACCCTTTCGAAAAAAGTTGTATATTAATGAAGTGTTATTATTAACCATTTTATGAAAGAATTGTGCGTTCGACCGCGAAAGACTGAGAGGTATACATAATTCATTTGAAAATAGCCCATCCTGTAGTCAGCCCAATTTCGTTTGTAGTGTTTAGTTCATTATTTGGGATACTCTATTTTCTTGAGTAGTTTACTTTGAGCAATGATAAAACTGCCGTAGTTTGCCTTTAAAATAAAAAAGAATTAATAAATACTTTGAATATTATACTTACATATAATTCATTTGTCAATGAGTTAGTATCAATGTTATTAACCTCAATAAGGAGATCAACTATCATAAACTTGAAATGAACTCCAATTTTATTTGAAGGAAAACACACATCATGAAATATTTTGAAACTTTGTTTTAATTGCTTTAAGCGTTTGTGTTTGGTGCCCAAATAAAACGTTTTCTTGATTAGACATGGCGTTGTTATTCTGAACAATTACTGTATATGGACAGTCGTGCAATCTCAAACACAGAACTTTTATTTTCAAAATTGTTGTTTAATTAGTATACCAGCAAAATAATTACCCTATAGAAATGGAAAAGTTTGAAGAAAATAGTATAGTCTCAATAGAATGTTTGTTCTAACTGAGAAGACATTATATTCTATATGGAAAACGAAAAATAATTCAAAGAATCATATTGCAGTT